AAATCATATTATGAAAAGTTTTCGAAGTCCTTCTTGGGGCTTATCCATAGATCTTACGCATTCTACCTTATAGAAGCTCAGTGGCAAAAGGTGTGAAGGATATTAGGTAACAGCATTTTTATGATATTATCAAATCAAAAAATGTCATTGGAGCCACGGTAAGCCCAGAATTCCAAGTTTTCATTAATCAAGTTGGAAATTATTTGATTTGACAATGCGTTTTATACTATTTCCTTAGTAATACGTTTTTATAGAAAACATTCAAAATCGAAAAAAAAGTTGTGTTAGGAAATGCACCTACCTTAAGAGAGCATTGCTAAATATATATTTAAAAGTTCAAACAGAATTAATTAATAACTTAAACCAGAGAAACGAAGTTGATTCAAACGCAACGGATGCTCTTGGAGCGCCATCTGCCAACAAGAAGAAGCAACTTTTGAGAGCGTTTACTAAACACATGCTGCAAGCAGTGCACAAGCAGTGCATTTTTATGTGAAAGCAGTTTGTCCGTTAATATTTCAAATTTTTCCTAAAACGGAATTTGCTTATAGAAAAACTCTAATATATGTAATACCAGCTAATATTTTCCGATTACATCCGATTTTCATAAAGTTTGGCTTTTTGTTCTTGGTTTGACATCTAAATCAACTTGTCATCTAAATCTGGCAACATTATTCTTGGTGAAAGTTCAAGTGAAAATCGTATGACCAAATATCCTATATAGATATGGGTAACAATATCTCGGGGTATACCCGTTAGTAACATACGAAAACATAAAAATAGCAAAGCTAGACCATATTTTTTTCGTTTCCTTGTCTTTAGAAACGAAATTATTTTGTTTATTATAATAAAGTAATTGCGATATTTACATGGTACATGATTTAGAATTTGCATAAGCTACAAGTATCATAAAATGGAGTTAAATAATATAGTCTAAGTCTTAGAAAATGTCTAATTATATAAGTTGCATATAATTATAATATGGCTATAGCGATTTATTATTAGGCCTTAGCAATATATATATAATTTTCTCGATTTCTTTTTGTCTCGAAGTAAAATAAAATTTTGTACTAAAATCATTGAAAGGGAAAATGGAACTGCGACGAGCAGCAAACAAATGTGAGTGGAATACATGATATGGATGTACTGAATATATATATATACAAACAAAATCAAATTCGAATGTAACTAAAGGCTAATAAAATAAAAAGTTTGCAAATTGTACTCGTTAACGGTGGGCAGAGCCAAATAAAAATGAAAATCGATTGAGCGACGCGAGATTAGTAAATCTTGGGTAGTATATAGTAGCGCACCTGGGTGCAGTAGCGGTGCCAGGACGAGTGATAGCGGCCCTGATTGCGTGCATTGGCGCGGGTGGCGCGATGCAAGAGAACGAGCACCAACAACAGCAGCGACAGCACTGGCGGCCAGGCGGGGCGCAAGTACATGGGCGCGCCCAGCGCACAGAGGGCGAGTATGTCGCCCAAATAGTTGGGCTGACGCAAATGTCCCCAGAGGCCGCTCAACAGCAGCCGGCTGCCCTGGTAGGTGTGTATGGTGTCGATGTTGGCGAAGATGGGGTTCTGTGAGTTCAGGCGATACTTGTACTTGTAGGCGCAGCTGTAGCGCTTGATGCAGAGACCCACAAACAGCAGCAACAGCGCTCCAGCTGGCATCAGGTAGCTGCCAATGGGCACACGCTGCTCGTAGAAGTATTTGCTGACCGAGCTAAGCAAATAGGGTGTGGCCGCATAGCGCAGCAGCAGCAGGCAGCCGTAGCCCTCGTGCTGCAGCTCAAAGGAGCAGCTCAGGTGATGCTCGAAGAGCAGCGCATCCAACACATAGATAAGCAGCGAACTGGCCGCCAGCAAAGCGCCGGCATCATAGTTGAGATTGTTCCAGTAATAGCGCAACAAGTAGACGTAGCCCTCCTGGGCTTGTGGCCAATGGGGCCACTGCAGCGTCTGGTAGATGTAGCAGACGGCATATAGCAAGGTGCTGACCAGCGAGAGGCGATAGTAGTACTGCTTCCAGTCGACGCGTCCCAGCCATTTGGGATTCAGCTGACGTCCCAACGCAAAGTCCACCAGAAAGTTGCCGCTGCGTCCATAGTCATTGGCCAGCGTCTGGCGCAGCACATTATATTTGGTGGTGTCCACTCGCCAGTAGCTCCAGCTGGCGGCCACAAATGCGCTGACCAGTCCATAGATGCAGAAGCGCAAATAGTGCCGCAGCACAAAGCTCACAATCGGATACTTTAGGTACTCGACAATGCCGCCGGCGATGAGCAGGGTGAAGCACACGCCCAAGCCATTGAATTTGTAGGTTTCGCGCGTCAGATGGACCCGTCGACCTGGCAGCAGGGCCACCAGCAGAAAGACCACAAACTGATAAGCCGTGAAGACGCCAACGACATGCGTCTGGAACACCTGACGTGTCAGATAGTGCCAGTCGAGCAGTACCGTGAGATTGGTGCGCTTCAACTGACAGGCATTGCGGGCCGTGCAGCTCCAGGTGAGATAGTAAACCAGACCGGGCATCAGCACTAGCAGCAGCAGTGCGCCCGGCCAGCCGCCAAATTCGCGTGGCACCTGCAGTTTCCGGCAGACATTGCTCTCCAGCAGGGGCGTTGTCGAGTGTCGCGTGACATTGAAACTGCGGAATGGCTCATCATCCTCCAGCTGCTCGTCCTCCTCATCTATATCTTCCTCGCCGGTGGAATAGCTGCGCCTCGAGCTCTTCTCGTCGTCATAAACAGAACGTGAAACGGAACGACTGTAGCGACTACTCGCATCCTCCCTATTGACCGTGGGCGTGCCCGCCACATTCGAGATGGTCTTCGATAGAGAACGCCGCAGGCGATCTGTGATACGTTTGCGTATAGAATCCGTGTCCACATCCGCCCCGCTGCCGCCCTCGGTGCGGATCTCAATGCGCTGTGTAGTCGTCGTGCTGCTGCTATAGGTTCGTTGGCTGTCCGGGCTGTTCACCGAGGAGGTGAGCATCGCCTGGTTGGGCGCACGCGACGATGTGTTTGTGGTCAATGTAATCGGAAAGCTGCTCGAATTGCGCACTGGCGATGGTACCTGAATAGTTTTCAATCATTTTAATAACTTACAATTAGCTCAAATCTAAATATAACTAGTTTAAAGAGCATCCGAATTGTACTTTCAGCTCATCCTGCGACCCGCCCGCCAACCATCTTGAGCGAAAGTTCCCAGTTTGGGCAAGCATATAAACCAAAGAACTTGATTTCAAAGCATTCATTCCAATGATATAGTGGACCGAACTTGTCTTAAATATAAGGAATAGAACAAAAGGTTTTATACAAGAATTTCGTGTTCGAATTGCCAGAAAAATACAGACCTAGGCCAAGTCCTACGAGGATAGCTCTAAAACTAAGACTAGAGACGAGGGAGACGGAAGCCAGATGAACAAACGGAAATACTTTATCGACTTGGCTGTTGATACTGATCAAGAAAGTTATAATACCCTCTACTAGAGTATAACAACTCGCTTTGTCCATGTCAATGTAAAGATACTCTCGCAAACATCATGCGAATTCATATGTAGACCACATTCTTTGGGCAATAAAAAAAAAATATAGCAGTGTATCTATTCGCGTGACAGTTGGTGTATTTCTGCAATGAACTCATTTCACCTTCTACTGTTTATACTTTTCACTGTTATACGAAAAACTAGACGAACATATATTAAGGGAGCACACGCTTGATAAGATCTCAATACACTGATTAACCAAAGGAGATAACAAAGCTGATAGACTCGACCAGAAAACCGGTTAACACACACACACACTCACACACACGCGCGCCAAGAAAACAGTTGATGTGTTATAGAGAGAAAAGAACCTGCACCAACCTCATTGACTTCCTTGATGGGCGTCGGGGACTTAATCGTGGCCTTGATGGAGCCTGCTGCTGCAGTGGGCTGCCCGGCAGCGGAACGCGGTCTGCTGGAGCGGCGTGTGCGCGGCGCTAGATCCACTGTGGTTGGCTCCGGCAGCACCTTGTTGCGCGAGGGTGAGGCACGTGTGCGTGCTGCAATGCCCTGTGTGTGGGCTGGGGGGCCGGCTCGTCTAGTCTGTGTGCCGGGCGCGGCTGCAGCGGCGGCAACTGGTGCGAAATCCTCTGTGCGGCGCGGACGTCTTAAGCGTCGATCCATTGCAGTAGTTGCTCTATGTGAATGGCCCCTACTGTGTGTGCTGTAAGTACATACACAAAATGTATTTATATAATATAGAATATACAATATTATTAAAAGCGCGATCTATATTTTATTTATAGTCTGCGCCGCGCGCACACACACACACACACACATGTATTTACACTTTCCCGCCCTGCCCCGCCAGAAACTAGCGACTTTTTCGGCAACAACAACAACACTTTTCAGCTGGCACACAAAAAACGGCGCGTACTGTACCCGGCGACGTCGACAGCGCAGCCGACGGCGACTGCAGCGAATACTGTTGTCTGGCTGTAATGCACTTACAATTAAACCGCAGCCAATGTGCGTTAAATGTATTTTCTGTTTAAGTTATTAAATAAATATTTGTGTACGTCTTCTTTTCTATTTAATTAGTCACATTAATATTGCTTATATCAGCCTTTTCAAAAAGGACGCTCGCCGATTCGTCCGAATGCCTCAGAAATTTTGTTGCAAATGAGCGCGGCAACGCGTTAGCAAATGTAAATGTGTGTGTGTGTTAATGTTACCGTTTCGTGGTGAATGACTGCGCGTTGTAGAGTTGCCAACATACATAGTATAGAAGTGCAGCAAATAAAAAGAGAAACTAATATTAGTTATTGACATTATAAATAGTAATCTTTTAATGATGTATTATTTCTCTATAAATGTTCTAATAGCAATGATTTAAATAGTTGCATTATTTATTGCACTGCTGCACAACCCTGTACTGTATGCAGCTGAAGCGCGTTTATGGTCAATTTTAGTACATTCTTTTGCTGCCTTTTTGCACACACATAATTCTACAACAAAAGGCAGGCAGCGAGCATAAAGAGAAAAAAAAACTTAAAATTAACACGGAATATACGGAAGTTTTTCTGTCAGTTCTAAAAATGTAAGTAGCACAAAAATAACAAAAAGTTCCTCGACGCAACAAACAGCAAATATGTTGTGCAACCTCTACCTAAATTACCAGTGATTTATAACTGTTATGAAAACGTCTCTCTCCTAACGCCTCCCAAAATATCTGGCCGTGCCCCAACCTAGCGCCGCAGCCACACCCCCTGCAGCCCCAGCCGCCGTGTCGCAGTGGACACCGGAATAACAAAGCGCTATGGTCACACCGCAATCACCCGCACCAATGTTCAACGGACTGGACGACGATTTGTACAACGATGCCAAGTTCGCGCACGAGATCAACGACAAGATGCGCGTGCCGAAGCGCATCAAGGCCACGGGCGAGTTCTCCGACGAGGATCTGTTGCTGTCGAACCAGAATGGGATGATCAGTTCGTGGAACTATCACGACAAGATCGATATGAATGTGCCAGATCGGATTGTGGTGCTGGGGCACAATCAGCATCTGGAGACGCGCTCGGCGCCGCGTGAAATCCAACTGGAGAACTCCATATTACCCAAGAATCCGTCAATGGGCTTTCTGCGCGTCCAAACGCCGCCGCGCGTCATCACACTCACGGATCATCATTTTCCATCGGCCTCCGAGGAAAGCTCACCACTCAAACCCAATGGCAATCTCTATGGCCACGATCTGGATGGCGACATGGACGACGACGACGAAGACGCCCGTGCCACGCAATATGTGCGCTCCAATGGCAACGTCCGCATGGGCTTTCACAACAGCAACGATGCCAACTCCGTCGAATCGGACTCGCAGGTGAGCACTCGCAATGTTGCCATCGATTTTTCATTTCTATTAAATGACAAAACGCGAGACGATGCCAACTCTGGAATTCCTAATCCCATGTTACGTCACATTTCAGTTCGTGACGCCGCACTCGATACAATTTCGAACAGCGTAATCTTTCAGAGTCCACTTCCATTATCAGCGCATGTGCTAATGCAGCCCCCATGACGAAATCCGATCGCCTCCAATGGCAACAGCTTTCCTACACACACACACGCCCAACCACATTTTTTTTAATTGTTTAAAGATTAATGAACTGCTGACGCCAAGTAAATCGTCTGGCATTTAGGTCTTGAAGTGTAAATCTTTCGCCTCAACCCGAACCAAGATCTGATCAGATTTGCGCTTCTCATTATGCTCCTATCATTGATATCAGACTATATTACATAGCTTCTTCCTGTTTGCAATTATTGATTATGAATCATCTCTTATATGCCCAGCCTAAATGTTGACGGAATCTCTCGGTTATATTTGTATGTATATTTCATGCCTATTACCACAATTCGTTTTATGACCAAAATGTTTTATCTCTATTTTGTATGCCAAATTTCGTAAGGGCGCACATTAATCGCTTGAGTAGACGTTGGGAAGGCCTTGAGCATGATTCTCAGGATCCTTGGGCGGCTGTTTGTAGGCGGGTCGCTCTGTTGGTTCCTTGAGTGGCTTGGAAAAGGCGCGACACTTCCAGACGTCGACCTCGGTGGCCAGGCACTTGCGAAAGTCGTAGTCGCACAGGCCCAGCGTGTACATGTGCTCGGTGGGCTCAAAGTAGTGCAAGCCGCGTCCAATCTTGATGACAACGCCCGAACTGAGCACGATCTTGCGATCGTGCAGCGTTTCGTCCAGCTGGAAGTTCATGTGAATGTTGCCCGTTGCCAGATCGGCGCGAATCTGCTGGAGTACGTGCAGCTGATTCTTGGGCAGCGCCGTATCCGGCCGCGTCGTCAGTCGTATGTACTTCAGGTAGCGACAATTCTTGACCAGCACCTCGAAGAAGTTAAGCAGGTTCTTGAACTGATGCTGCTCGCTGAGATGCGGCTCGTTCAGGTGCGCCTCCTTGACACTGTCATTCAGATAAGCACCGAGCAGACGCTGATAGCTTCGTCCACGTGCGTCCCGCTCAACGACGATATGCTCCAGCATTTTGCTGGCATGCAGATGACCCCTGACCTGATCCCGCAACTGCTTGGCGCGCGCCTCGTACAGCTTCAGATATTTGACGCACAGATGCTGCTTTTTGGGGTCTGAGTTGGACAGCTGATTCAGCTTGAAGATGCTTTCCTCGTAGAGCAGTATCGCCTCCATAATGTGACCCGTTTGCTCGCACTTGAGGGCATTGCTTATGGACTCCAGCTTGGGCAGGTCCTCCTCGTCGGAATAATGCGCCTGCGACATATCTGACCAATTGTTCTCTGTACTTAAAAATTTTGTTTACCAACTTGTTTTGAAAAAATGTGCACAATAATTTGACTAACTGTTTAAAATGCCAGGAATACTACGATGCCTTCCAAAATTTTGGAATAGTTCATAAATTTGTAACACGACCACTTAAAACTGCACTTTTTGTACTTAAATTTTGTCGATATCCCAAATGCATTTCTCTTAGAAGTGAACTCTTAGAAGTGAATTGTTTCATCATGGCAGCAGGATTACACAGGCAAAATAGGCAGATTTTACCCATTGTGATTATCTTTCATAGATTTGTCAAATTTTAGAGAATAGCAAACAATTATAGTCAACTTTATATTTATATATTTTATTTAAACGATGGTCTGTCAAAACTTTTCCGTAAGTTAAGATCAGCCAACACCCATGCCTAAGCCCAATCCTAACGAACACTTCTCCGTCCCTTGTCCACAGCTCACAACGGGCAGCGCGAGCAAACGCTCCCAGCTGATGCAGCAGCAGCAGCAGAACAATTTGGATGCCTCGATGCTGGCCCACCGCGAGGGCACGCCCATGGGCGAGTTGACGCCGCACGAGGAGATACTGTATCTGCGTCGTCAGCTGGCCAAACTGAATCGGCGCGTGCTCAACATTGAGATCAACAACGAGCAGCGAATGCAGCGCGAGAAGATTGTCTATTGCCTGGGACTGGCCTACTTTGTGCTGAAGACCATCTTTTGGCTGAATCGCTAGAGATGGAATACGGGCTGCAGCCTGATGGTGCTTTCCTTCGTTTGTTTTCTTTTGCTGCATACACACACGCAACGCTAGCCGGGAAAACTGACCAGTTTACCATGTTTTCTTACTTCCTTTAGTTTTTTTTTTTTGTAAATGGCACCGAGAGAGAGACTTGGTTAGTTTTTTTTTTGCCATATTCGTTTTAAGTTCTGTAATTAAATAAGCACAACCTCGATATGTTTTTCCGTCGTGGAACCCAAAAACAAAGCATCAATTTTAATCATTTTTGTCAATACATCAAATCGAATTAAGTCAAAATGCTTCTTCTTATACGTAGACCCTGTACTTGTTGTCTAAAAAGCAGCCGAAACGCCCACAAACTGTCGCGACCTTGAACTCTTGTTGGTGTGTGTGTATCCCTTCCGAACCCATTCAAAGCACGGAACTGAAATATTCTTTTATATACATATATATGTATCTATGTATATATATATATATATCTATTTGTGACTTAATCTAATAGCGCCTAAATTTTAAAATCACATTTCAAAGTTGATCTGAATTCTCGTGTGCTTTTTGTTAAATGTAGTTTTTTAGCCTAAACATTGTTAATCATAATCGCATGGAGTAATATTTGATCCCAACAACGTGAAACTAACGGTATTTCTATGCAATAGATAAAGATACATTACATAACACTTAAAACTTATGAATTTTGATGGTGAAGTTTAAATATACCGAATCCAGCAACAGATGAAATCATTTAGCTTTAGTGTTCGATTATTGGAGGATGATATTTAAAACAATAAATAAGAAAAACGTTTCAACTTGTCTTTTTCTTTACTTTATCAAGCAATTCATCTCTTCAATCCTTCAGCTTACATTTGGTGCGGAGTTCGAGGAAATCTAAAAGGGGATTCCCCCTCATCAAAGAAATCACTTGGTTTATCTTTTTTTTTTAACGCATTTAAAAAATGTATTTTATTTCTTTTTATTTGTTTCTCATATTGGAATTAAATTATATAGGTATTAATTAAGACTAAAAATTAAATGCAATACATCTTGTGATTTATTCTGCAACATCTTGAGGGTTTAACAAAGATGTTTCTCTAGAGTTCAATAATTACGAAAAACCTGAGCGAAATTTCGTTCCTTTTCGAACGTCGTGAAAAAGCTCTCTCAAGGCCCTTTCAATTGTTTTCTTTTGTTTGTTTGTACACTCTTTTTCATTTGTTTCTGGTTTTGTTCTTTTTCTCTCGATAACTTTTAACATTATGCATTAGAGCTATTGGTATATATCGATCTATATAATAGACGGTGATAAGCCGTTTCTCCTGGCAGACCTAGCAATGTCATCATGTTGTGTTCTTGGGAAGGGGGCGAGGGCGGGGTTTGATGCCGTACAGGATATTTTGAGAACAATTGTAGTTTTCGATTTTTTGTTGTTTTTATTTATAATGGAATTACGTTATCGTTTAATTTACAAATTTTTATGCAAGATATACAAATTGATCAATGTTTTTATTTTTTTTTTGCCGTTTTCTAGAATTGTTTTCTTTGAAGGCGAGAGGAAGAATTCCGCGCCTCGAGCTCGACTTAAAAACTGTTTGTCCTCTCTCGTAAATATGTGTATACTAAAAGAAACGCCTACTATAAACTTAAATTCTTATGTATAAATACAATTTTGCATATGTTCTTCGTGTTGGTACATTATTCAACAGTCGCGTTCTTTCGACGGCAACTTTCCTGTTCAACGGTCTTTGTATTTCTATGCTATGGTTTGTTTGTTTGTTTATTTTATGTTTTGTGTATGGTTGGTGCAAGTGGAGTGTAGGGGGGTGGTGGTGGTGGTGGTGGGTGTGGGTGGAGTTTAGACGAAATGCGATTGACTGACTGACAGGTCCACTGATGATGTTCTTGTGGTTTCTGTGATGGCGCCTGTGAAGCGATCTCTTACTCGCTTTCATCGTCATCGTCGTCATCAGAATCGTCCTTTTTGCTTTTTTTCGCTGGTTTTTTCGCAGGTTTTGAACGTTTCTTGGCACCGCCGTTAGCAGCAGCACTGCTGCCGCCGTTGGCCTCAAAATCTTTGACGGCGCGATCGTAATCATCCTTAGCCTTGGCTGCCTTTGCCTCCCACTCCTGCAAGCAAGCAATGGTCAGAGAAAACGGTTTTTATTAGTTTTCGATAAAAACAATTTACTTATGCACATTAAAGCTGGGCGTGCGAGCTTACTTACCGACTTATCCTTCATTGCCCTCCATAATTCACCACCGCGCTTGGCCACCTCGGTCACTTTGATGCCGGGATTTTCGCGTTTGATCGACTCGCGAGCGCTGTTCAGCCACAGCATGTAAGCGGAGAGCGGACGTTTTGGTTTGTCGGCCATTTTCTTTTGTGTTGTTGTGTGTAAGTAGTAAGTTACTAAATTAATTTGCTATAAGCTTCGAGCTGCAATGATTAAATAGACAAGCATACATTAGTATCATCATTGCAGAAAGAAAAATAAATAAAATGCACGCCATGTACTCAGCGAGCGAGCGTAAAAACTAGCGCTCAGACCAGGGAAGCCACCACCACCACAAATCGAATAAGCAACCAACACACATGCAGCAATGGCCGCGCGCAAAGCGTCGCGTCAAGAGAGATGGCAATACTGCTCACACGCACACACTGCTGGCGCAGCGTCGACGCTGACGTTTGAGAAAAGCGCGCGCGCGCGTCTTTCTGGTATTGGTACAAGAGACAGCAGAGTGCGCGCAGCTAACAATATTCACCTATTCATATCACAAATTATTTGCATTAATAATGAACAAAAAAAAATAAGCGTTTGAATGACAAATTACAGCATTTTCGACATTAGCAGCCATTTTCGTTCTGCACTCCCTCAGCGTCGAGTGCAAACGACCGAAATGGCAACACTTTTTTCTGTATGTACTGCTGCCGTCGCCTCGGACTGTCTGCTTGGGCCTGCCAGTGTAGTACAGCAGCGTCGTGTGTGCGACGCGCTCTTTGGCACAGGCCAAGCGACGTTTTGTATGAGAAATGTACTACAAAGAGCAAATTTTGATGGGAAAAAGCAAGCAGCAGGCAAAAATGCACAGAAAACTGTGCTAAATATGCTTATTAAATGGCTTTTAAAGCAGCATTTCTACTTTTTTAAAATGACACTCGTCCGACATTTAATAAATTGCACAATCTTTGTTTCGCTAATTTTGCCTGTCAGCTTTAAATGAATTAAATACTTTTATTCTCTTTTGGTCAATTCAATAAAATGAATCAAAAACAAGTTTGTCACACTTTAAATTTAGTTTTTGATTGCACAAAATTATTTTAAAATACTTTCTTGACTGCTTGCGTTTACCAACCTTCCACGTTTCTTCACCGACTTCAACTGTACTGAGTGAAGCAAGCAAAACGGTAAGGAAACTGAAAGCAGCAAGCATTGGGCGCGCAGCGCAGCAGCGACGTCGGCAGCAGATAAATTGCCGGCTGGGCTGTTTGTCTGACCGAGAGATTGAGAGAGAGAGCGTGAGAGACCGAAAAGAGAGAGCACAAAGAGCGAGGCAAAGCAGAAACACGGTTAAATGACGAGTAAAAACAAATACAAATACGGAAACAAAGTAAAATATGTGAATAGGCCGAAAAAGCGCGCATTTTGGTTAGCTGCGCGCGGGATTATAAAAACAAAATATTGCCCAAGAAGAATGTAACGCATGGCTCAAAAACAATTATGCAAAATTAATTAAATGAATGGCCTAGGCAGCCATTTTGACTTGGCGCCGCTCACGGCGAGCAAAAAACCCGAAATGGCAACGCTTTGGTCTCTTGGTACAGCAGCGTCGTACTTTTCACAGCGACGAACTGAAGTGTGCTCTAGAGAGAAGGCAAAAAGTGTGAACGATGACTGAAAAAAGTCGTTAATTCATTTGATTGTCCTAATAAACGATGTTTCACTGCACTATTTTAAAAAAAATTTGTATATACTTGTCTTGTGCGTTCACTATAATCCACTAAGTATATTTTTGATTTTATATTTCACAAGTTCTTAGGACTCAACCAACCTTTCTTGTGTGCTGCTCAATTTCAACTGTACGGACTTAGCGTCTGCCGTCATAACGAAAGCAAGCAGCTGCCAGCTGGTAAAAACGGTGAGAGCGGCGCAGTCGACGCAGGCAGCAATGCTGTTTAAGATGAGTGCGTGACGCAACATGCGCTTCAACAATTCACGACTTGGCACGTCTTTTGAAAAAAAAACGTAACAATATATAAATTTATCGTTAAAAATGTATAATACTGAACCTAAATATTTATTGTTTATTTTAACTGATCTATTTTCGCTTAATATTACTTATAAATATATTAGGTTTGCGAGCTGCTGCGCAGATAATTCGTGCTGTCTCACGACACGTAACCATATCTAGGAGAGTCAACATGAGAGAGCGAGAGGAAATACAGCCGGCAAATTATCTGAGACGCTCGTTGAGATAAATCAGAAGTATAAAGTTAAAGCAGAAACACCGCTAAAAGCCATGTAAAAACAAAAACAACGTCAATAAAATGCTGTTTGAAATGTAAATAGAATAAATGACGAACACAAAGCGCATTTGCAATAAAAACAAATTCAAATTAGCTAACTTACAAATATGAACCATCCAAAATATTCCTAATGTGCCCCATATTTTCCCTATGAGAGGTACGCATACACACCAAAGGCGAGACCAGTCAATGGCTCTCTCACTGGTACATACAAAAAGAGCTCTAACTGAGACTGGACTTAAAAATGGCGCCAAAACACAAATTATAGTCTGTAGATGGCTGTAAAAACATATTTTACCCGAAAAACATGCATTGAATGTTTTTGTAGATACATAAATGCTTATTAATATATAGTTTTTGGTTCTGAAACTCAATGTTGCTCAATGCCAATAACCTCTCTTTTCAATATATAACTTGTTTAAGACAAGCCGCACATAAATATAAGACTCGTATTCAATCGCAAATATAAGTGAAACATGTTAATAAAGTTACTTAATCACTATGGCAGAAGCGGAATTTAGCAATTTATGTTTTTGCTTCTGGCATTTAGTTTCTTCTCGTTTAGTGAGCAATGCTTTCATATTGGGTTATGCATAGCAACCAGCTTGCTGTCGTGCGTACTAACGACGGCAAAAACAAGGTAGAAACTATACGCTGACGTCACAAATGAACGCGTTAGGCGATATTCGAACTGATACAACAATATTTTAATATATAAAAAAATTCTAGTTTTTACAGAAAACTTATTTTCATAAATGTAAGCTGCATAATTTGCTTACAGTAAGGGTTTTAATAAATTAATGTCTAGTTTATCCAATTTGAGGGCTTAAGAAGAGTTATATATACAAACATACATATATACATTACTAAGGAATGTTTTAAAAGTAGTAAATACAGAATGTATATTTTTCATGGTCCTATCATTATAGATTATTATCCTATTCAGAGATTTGCAAAGAGCAACGATCACGGTCCTTTCAGAACGCGATCCTTCTGTACTTTGTTTGTGAGAAATCGCATGCAATCTCATGCAATGAAATACATACATACATACATACATATGTACGTTTACAGTTAGAATCGACCACAAGGGCAGTTCTCAACATTGTAACGGCTGCTTGTAACTGCTGCTATCCCGTTTAGGGTTAAACATTGCAGAGATTTGGCGGCCAGTTACCACCCAAATACACGGCAGAGGCTGCGGATCAGTTTCCCGCCAAAAAGAAAAAAGAAGAAAAATATGAAGAACGCTGGAAAAAAATGAGCCGAACTGAAGCCTAGAGGAAAAATGGCGTTGCAGTTAATGCTGTTTGCTCGTAAATTTCTAGCAGGAAGGCAGAGGCAACGGCAACGGCTGCCGGCCGTACAAAGGATAACGATGTCACGCGCTGTTTGCAGTTCACAAAGCAACAAGGACAGCATGAATAGACGAGCCGGGGAACTAACGCAGGCAGGATAGGCAGGCAGACGCAGGACTCGCCTCAAATTGTGTGTGCGATGTCTTGCTAAGCTGCATTTGTGCCCATAGTCTTTTTAGGAACGAAATCTTCGAGTTCACATGAAAATGCTTAGGGTAGCTGCTGGAAGTAGGCATGCGATAACAAGGACTACGACAATGCAATTGAATTTGATTCTCTCAACCGAAATTCTGTTGATACTTCAGCCAAGCAATACTTAATTCCCTACCATCCGGATCTTAGTACCGACTTAATATATATACTACATAAGTATGATTAATTTCCTGCAGTCTAACTGAATTTTGAATTTGCCAATAAGAAAATATCAGTCTTCGCCTTGCAAGGTTGCAAGAGACGTTGGTATGGGAGGCTGTGGAGGAGGAGGGGGGCGGGGGGTTGCTTGCATGGAAGCTTCTTTCCCATCGCATTCTTCTTATATATCGCATCGCCAATCGGTTGCTAGCAGCTATCGATAATTGCTTTGCGACTGCTTCCTCTTCGCTAGACGTGCTTCTTCTCTTGATGGCACTGCAGACGAGGCAAAAGCAGATATGCGAGAAATAAACAAAAGCTGGCAGCAAAACAAAAGCAAAGCCAAAGCTTCAGCAATGAGCACGACAAGAGCCGAACGCCAAGAGAAAAAGCTGCTCAGAGCAAAAGCAACAATCGGCAGGCCGCAGTTCTCAGCAAGCATTTCGAGCGCGCGGTCGCCTAACGGTTTTTAGCATTTTCCCCTCCACCTCGATTCCCTGCTCGTGAGCTGGTGTCCGGCATGTCCAGCAATGGGGGCCTACCATTTCGCTTTACCGACGAGCGTCACATGAAGTTCGTGGAGCTCTACAGCCGTGAGCCGTGCCTGTGGAACCGTCGACCATATCTGTGGGGTGCTCGGAACGCCGCCTACAAGCGCATACAGCTCGGCATTAACGCCGAGACGGAACCCAATGAAAACTCGATAACATTGCAGGGTGTCAAAATGAAAATCAAGAATATGCGCACTGGCTATCATCAGGAACTAAAGAAGATCAGGGCTAATCCAAGGTACACACCGAAAATTCCTTGGTTTGCTCCGTTACACAAGTTTCTCGCACAGTTTCTGGACAAGGTAAATGTTCCTATAACCGTTTCTACTGCATTCAGCATTTATGGTGAATATTCCGAATAAGCAGAAATCAGACGAGGAGGTGGTGCTGGTTCCTTCACCGCCCCTAAAGCGTCTGCAGATCAAATTGCCGCGCCTGAAGACAATCAAGCTCCTGCCGCTGGAGTCCGAAGAGAAGCCCGAAATCAAAATGGAACTCGAGCCAAGCCAACAGGTGTTCATACCAACCACAGCTCTGCCCCTCATGCCCACGCTGACGCCACCCCCGCCGCTGCGCCTAATCACACCACCAGCTCAACCGCCCTCGCCAGTCCCACCTCAAATACTCGAAGTCACCTCACTGCCCACAGTGAACCCCACGTTAGTGGACCGACCGCGGGCGCTGCAATCAACGGGCGATGATGAGTTTACATATTTCGGACTTAGCGTTGCGGCCCAACTGCGCAGCATGCCCCTCTCGAATGCGATGATCATGCAGTCCAAGATTCAGTATATGCTATCGATGGAGCGTCGTAGGATTGGCGGTGACACGACCGAGGCGAACTTGTTTGCGTAATTGGGCCAGGAAATGGAGGAACTGAATGAATCTTATAAAAGATACAGCTTAATGGTTCCGACTATTAGGAAGATAACTCAAACTATGAATGTACTTGAAGCTTTACAGGAAACAACAGAAAAAATATACGAATATCTTTACTCCTGCTTATGTGTGATTTAAAAAATATTATTTATAAATTTCCTAAGAACGGCTAAGTGTGGAAGTTTTTAATTAAGTGTAATTTTAAATAATCTGAGACAATGTGCAAAAATCTTTTGATAAATAAATATCATGCAAGCTCATATTTCAATTCAATAGAGAATGGATCGTGAGTTTTTAAGCACGATGATTTCGGTTGGGTATCACGCACGACCTTTTCTAATTCTTTTGTTATAGTATTTATATTGTTGATCGTATTTAAGAATTATTCATATTTTAAATATTCTTATGTACATATTTTTTTATGCAACTGACTAGCAATACGTGAAGACCATCGGGTTGCCTAATCAACATCCCGTTGTTCGGATTGGATCCAATTCCTCTTTCGGTCTCTATTCACCACACATTACCGAATAAGCAGATAATGCCTTACATAACATGATTTACAGAATTAAGTATTAGGCTAGATTTGTGTGTTGGTTCGTGTCACGAAAGATAATACCACACGTGACCATCTCTAAGTGCTGATATCGAAACGACGTGTAGAATAAATGTTTTACTTTGTTAAGTTCTAAAGAGAAATATGGAAATATCCTCGTACCCGAGCATTGAGCATCGCATCGCCGCATAAGCAGAGCAAGCAAATGTTAAAGCACAAGGCAAGTACATGAAAAAGCAAAAGCAAAAGCAAAAGCAAAAGCAAACCGAAGCAGAAACAGCAATGAAAGCAAACCGTACTGTACCACAAATTTTGCCTGCTAGCGCTTGGCAGCTAAGAGCAGCGAACAAACAACCAAAGCGAGCGAGCAACTGAGCTGAAGAGTGACAGCGAGAGCGAGAGAGAGAATGTGTGTGCGTGTGAGATGCATGAGTGTGAATGCGTGTTATTGTGTGGGTGAGTGTAGGCTGTGCCGTATTGTCGAATTTTCGCGCTATAACGAAATGTTGTCTCAAATTATAGCGCAAACTAGCCGTCTTTTTGGCATATTGGCGAATGCGGCCAGCATCAATCTCAAATACCCTACACGATACGGCGACGTCAGATTACATGGCTGTGTCTGCTAGCACATACATACACGTACATAAATATGGATATGTTTATGCATATGTGTATGTAATCGCCTGTGCATGTGTAGAAATCGCCGTTCAATTCTGCGACTCAGTCAGAGAAACTAAGAAAACCGGACGAATACAACGACGACAACGAATTGCTGACTGCGATTGTTGTTGCGGTTGTTTGTTGTTTTCATTTGTGTTGTTTTTTATGAGCATGCTTATCGTCTCTCTGTACGGCATTGGATTTTGCAACAACAAAATACCCTACAATGTGTCAGTTCAGTTCAACAATTCAATTGAAAAACACTTCCAAACTCTTACTGTATGTATATACATATGTATGCCTTTTAGTGATCCATTCTCTCTGATTATCCTAGTTAGAATAATTGATTTCCCGTGAAAAGATAATGTGGCCTATCAGCACTTGAGACATGCCTAAAACTGTAAATGTTTATGACATGCGTTATCCTTGTTTGGAGAGGCACCAACATTCAACCATCCTTCGCATAATTCCTTTTGGGGTCTCAACTGATCACTTTGTAAGGCTCAACAGTGGGCGCAAAAAGTCTACCCACGGTTCGACATGCATTGAGAAGTTCGCAATTCCGTGAAGTTCAGAGCTTCACTTTCGCACTTCGCCATCGAAATTGGGTCATATGCCAGCGGTGGAGGCGGCGGCGGCTGCATGGCCCAGAATCAGAGCAGACTCCCCAGCTGGAGTCGAAGTTGGTGGTGGAGGTGGAGCTGGAGTTGGAGTTGGAGTACGAGTCCTGTTGTTGTTTCAAATCGCGCAACGGCATCGTCAGCCACACTCGGCCACAACAATAGGCAGCACATGAAATGTGTTTAAGATACAGAACTTGGCCTTTGAAAGACTCTGTGGGGCCTCTCGTGTGGGCCCAATCGGCCTGACCGTCCGTCCGTCCGCCCGTCCATCTGTCCGCCTGTCTGCCAGCTGTCTGCTGTTTGGGGCCAACCGGCCCCGAGCCACAGCCACAGCCACAGCCGAGCGGCGTCACAGCAAACGTGCACATGCCATCGCCCTCCAAACAACGACCCATCCGCATATTTGTGAGCACTCACTGCCCCCACTCGGTATTTATATGCATCATCAGCTGTTCGTGCGAACCGAGCGCCAGCAGCACACAGACGCAGAGACCAGAATCTGAATCAGAATCAGAATCAGTACCAGAGGGCAGCACATTACGAGGCACAAATACTTTACTTGCTACAGCTTCAGGTGGTCGGCTTCTACCTGTGCCCATGCGTACGCATATGCATAGCGCGATTTGGATCCAGAGTAATTAAATGCCTGGCGTCAAATTGCTCTTGTTTCGGCTATTGATGAATCGCACGCTTGATCATAGCAGTAGATCGTGTAAAGGGTGACAAAAATAATCATTCGAAATGTAAATCGTTCTCATATAGGTATTTCAGTTATTATCTCAGTTTCAAGAAAGAAAAAGAAAGACTGCGCTTGAAAGTTTTGAGTATGTCTTGCAAACGAAGAAAGGTTTCTTTATAGTTCAAGGTGAATATTGTGTATTCAGTTTTATCAGAGACATAAAGCTTTAAATTATAAAAAGTAAGCAAGCTATTTCAAGAATCTCCCAGATCCATCACCAGCAGACTTTGCTATCAACTTTGTCCTTGTACCTCAGTCAAAGCTTTAACTTGTTGGGAATTTTAAGGCGTCAAGCTTAGAAGAACGAAATGAAATGATTCTTTGTTACTGGGGAATGTTTCTCAGTTTCAAATCTTGCTAGCATTCAAGAGCAATATTCAATCAATCAATCAATCAATAATCATATTCAGATACTTTTGCCACTTCACGAATATGCTAAGCGGAGCCAATTAGGGCCTACAAACTTTTGCTTGGGAAACTGTTCGAAACTTTGCATAATATCGCAATTTTATTGTCCTGGCTTGTGAATATGTGCATTAAATATGCATTGCGCAAGCATAACATAACGGTAAACGTAAAAGATACATTGCATCCATATGGCAAGCATATTGGCTCAAGTAGGCGACGACAATAAGACGCCAGTGCACCAAAAAGCAACAACAACAACAACAACAGGAATGACAACGACAACAAGTGCCTGGCACTCTACTCTGACCATTTCGAGGCCTGGCCAAGCCGTCCTGCTGTGTGCGCCCAAGTAAAGTATATTTATGTGTGTGCATGGAAACTGCAAGATTCACTCGCCCAGCCCAAGTCATCCAGTTCTATAAAGGGACCAACGGCAACAATCATACACACACACACACACACACACACACACACACACTAGCACACACATGCACATACACTGCAACATATGCGAAACCCGAGTATCACGCACAAATGCAACTAAGCTGGCAAACTATGCCGTCCTCAACATTGCCTCTTCATGCCAAACAACATGGTAAAGCGTCCGACCACCCCGGACTTAAGTTCTCTAGGATAACGACATCCTCTATGCACTATCGGACTATTAAAGAAACTGGAATGAAGCGGTCAAAGGAAATAAGTTCAATTTAGGAATCTGAATCAGAATATATAAAATATAAAAGAAACTTGAATCAAAAGGAAAAAAATGAAGAAGACTGAATATCAAATCGAGATTCGTAAGAGTCAAAGAATATAAAATATATGAATTTTAAAAGAAACTTGAATTAAAAGGACCAAAGAAATCAGTTGAAGGAATATCCGGTCGACATTCGTAAGAGTCAGAGCATATGAAATATAAATAAAATTTGAATCAAAAGGAAGGAAATCAGTTGAATGAATATCAGATCGAGACCCGTACGAGTCAGAGAGTATAAGATATAAGGGAAACTTGAATCAAAAGCAACGAAATCAGTTGAATGAATATCAGATCGAGACCCGTACGAGTCAGAGAGTATAAGATATAAAGGAAACTTGAATCAAAAGCAACGAAATGAGTTGAATGAATATCAGATCGAGACTCGTACGAGTCAGAGAATGAAAGTTCTTGATATATCCTGTTATTTATATATCTTTTTTCTCAAAAAAGTAAACACAATTGATTGATTATATGTCTTTTTTCTCATGTCAATCATATAAAGCTGTACTGAATCTTATAATCACATATAGATACTTTTCTATTCTGTCGAATACATTTTGAATCTTCCCAAGCAATTGAAATAATATAAATAACATACAAAAGTAAAACTAAATAAAATTATTTTCACAAACTGCCTTTTCAGTTAGACTAATTTCTAGTATTCAGAAAAATAACAGCAATTTTCATAATTTACTTTCTGATAAATGATATTTTACTACGCACATCCATAGCAATACCTAATTGTTGGTAGAACATATTCGATAGATGCATATTACCAATTATATTCGGTAATTAATATCTATTTTCATCAGCTCGGCTTGTATGCAATTATGTTTTCGATAGCTACTCATTATGTGAAACCCTTTTTGGGAAGAGGGTATATGCAGTTCGAGTTACTCAGCGTATCCTCGGGTCTTATACAATGTGCCTACCAGTTTGCACTTTGTTTCTATGCTCTCACACACGCAGCATAGCAAAGGACACACACATAGAAAATGACGCACACACAAAGACACACTCACACACAGGCTCGTTATATCCACATCCTGTCGAGTATGCGTTCGGTTCGTTAGCTCGTTCGCTCCTTCGTCTGCTGCTGCTGTTGCTGCTGTTGGCTCGGGCAATGCTTGGGCTGGTTTGCATATATCCCGAGCATATATTCCCGTTCATACAGCCGACAATTGCCACCACCGAAGCGACTGCAGCCGCGTCTCTCACCTCAGAGCAGCAGCAGCAGCAGCAGAAGCAGCAGCAGGCAGCAGCAGCGCAGCCAGAGCCAGAACCGGAGCGGATCGGGTCTACACCCCCAACCCCCAACGCGATGTCAATGGCCCGTTAGTTTGGGTGCGGGGTTCGCTTACAGAGGCACGAACCCACGCGCGCATTGGGCGGGGGGTGGTTATACGGCAAACAACCAGAATAATCGACATCGACCCACTGCACTGTGGGCCGAGCTCCATGCGAACAACTTCCACCTAATCGACGGTTTTGTAAATTT